TTGTAGTGAGCGAGATTAGAGCGTTGAAATTGCGTATCAAGGCATAGTGCCCTGTCCATCCCTGTTCAGTTTCCTCCAAAATCAAAAGAATGTCGATTTCCTGAAGATTTGAAACTTCAGTATCGGCATGGGTGTGTTTTAAGATTCTTTCTTTAACACGGAACTGGGGAATCTTGTTTGAAGAGTAAAGTGGATAGATGGAATTGCGGATTTCTTTTTTGATTTGTAGTTTATCCTTAGCGGTGCGAGTCGGCTTGCTTAACAGGTCAGAGTAAAGTTGCTTAGCAGCATCTTCTTCTTCATAGACAAACACGTGCAGATCGACATCGGGATTGTTCTTAGAGAACGTTGAAAATTGAGACATATCAATAGGTGTTGATAAACCATCCCAGTTGAACCCATGTTTGTTCAGTTCATTAATATAAGTAGACCGTTTCTCTTGGAAACGGTTCACATGTTCCTTATATTGAGCCTTCAAGCTGGGCAGAATTTTTGATGCCAAAATACTCAGTGAAAAACAATTTTGGTCTGGTCGACCAGTCATTGGATCCGTATTGTCAATCGATAACACTGTAGCGGGGCCAACATATTTCAATAAATTGTTCCGTGTCTTGAATCCTGTTCCTCCAATTGGTTGGAATCTTCCGACGCTAATCTCAAAGCCAGACACAAAATCCAAGATCCAGCCAGACTTTTTGTTGATATAAGCTGCTACTGAGTTACACATTTTCCAGGCGAGTGAGTTGACGATCGTTCTGATTGAATCAGAACGGTAAACTGAGTGGGTAACTCCGCGAAATACAGGGTCAGGATTAGTACGGTCAGAAACTATCATTTGCATGGTGACTGGATCCACTGACGTCTTATAAAAGTGACACTTTAGTTCTGACGAGATCTTCAGATATTTCTTTTCATCTAGTTCTTGGTTCAGAATGAACTCAAGCTCGGAAAAGATGGTTTCAAAGAATTGAAACGCATCTTTAAACACATTGTTCTTCACATCCAGTCGTACACATTGATCAAGCCTGTGTACAAGCTTCTTGTTAGGGGCAAGTACCTCTTAATTAATCCACCACCAACTTGAATAGGAATTCCCTTGCAGGGGTGTTCTTTCTGCATGTGATGATCCAACTCATAATTGGTGCAGAATTTTTTTGAACACTGGGGACAACACTTGTTGATGTACATGGTCATGTCAGGTTCTTCACGCCAACGTTTTGGAGAGGGAGTAGGCTCATCACTTGGACGTTTGTTGCTGGAAAAGGTAAGAAAAACCCACTAAGCTAAAGGTAAACCAGTAATCTGAGGCACGGGAGGCAATCTGAGACATTTGGGGACAATCTTAGAAATTTGGGGTAATCTGAGACACGGGGTAATCTGAGATATTTGGGGGAATCTGAGATATTTGGGGTAAACTGAGACATCGGGGGCAATGTGAGATATTTGGGGTAATCTGAGACCCTGGGTAATCTGAGACAATATTTGGGGTAATCTGAGACACCGGGGCAATGTGAGATATTTGAGGTAATCTGAGACATAACCGCGATGTTATGCAACTGTTCGCGCAGCAGCGAGGCTGCTTACACTTTAAGATCATAAACCCTAATCTGACCTTTACTTCCCCCTCTTTTGCCCTTCATGTGGGCTAAACTACCCCTCTGCGTAATACTGCATTTCATAATCTCAAAAACTTTACTTACTTGCTGGTTCCGGCAATTGGATCGTCTTTTTGAGAATAATCTACGTCCATAACTTCACTAACTTTGGAACATGAACTAATATCATGACTTTCCTGGCAGTAATCGCATTTTTCATCACTTATTAATTCACCGACGAGTTGGCACACACTTGGGCAATGATTACCAGAGCAGATACCACACAAATTACTATGTATTTGCATAAACAAGGCACAGATTTTATCGCAGATATGAGGCTGAATAACTTCTTTTTGGCAGTTGTCACATTGTTGAACATGTTTATTTTTTATATGATATTTGATGATACGAAGTGAATTAGAATTTGCTTCGCTACATAATAAGCAATGATAACCAGTAGCCACTGGAACTATAAAATCAGAAATTCTCATTTTGCCACAGGTTTGCACGATGTTACTCTTTCTACTAACTTATTTTCCTCCTCTTTGCTACTTTTATTCTGAGGAAACGTTTCATTTAAGAATTACTCGACATTTTCACCTCATTTCCTGCAAGCGAACGTTTATTTTTAACCGCATTTCTCATATTTATAAAAATACTGGTCATTTTTCCATTTTCTTGGAAGAACGTTTTCTTGTTCCGTCTTTTTCCCTCATAAGGCAATGTATGGTGGCGAGAACCCGTATTTTTTCCCGTAAGGAAAAGTATGTGGCGAGGAGCCCTCTTTTTCCTCATAAGAAGTGTGTGATGAGGACCCGTCTTTTTTCCCATAAGAAATAGAGTGGGCGAGAAATCCGTGGCTTCTCCCATAAGAAATAAAGTGGGTGAGAAATCCGTGGCTTCTCCCATAAGAAATAAAGCGGGCGAGAAATCTTTGGCTTCTCCCATAAGAAATAAAGTGGGTGAGAAATCCGTGGCTTCTCCCATAAGAAATAAAGCGGGCGAGAAATCTTTGGCTTCTCCCATAAGAAATAAAGTGGGTGAGAAATCTTTGGCTTCTCCCATAAGAAATAAAGCGGGCGAGAAATCTTTGGCTTCTCCCATAAGAAATAAAGTGGGCGAGAAATCTTTGGCTTCTCCCATAAGAAATAAAGTGGGTGAGAAATCTTTGGCTTCTCCCATAAGAAATAAAGCGGGCGAGAAATCTTTGGCGAAAAAACCTAGACACTTCTACTACTTATGCAACTTTTTCATTCGTAAAAAAATTGATTACTCAACCTCTAAAATCTACTCAATTACTCGGTTAGATGATGCGTCACTTGGGGTTATGAATCAATCGCAACGTACACACGTACAAATCAGCCTCCATCATGTCGCAGTTAATCACATTTTAATTAGCAAAGCTTATCGTTAGATGTATGAAAGATGCTCGTTTGGTTCAATATTTTATGAAGTGCGATGCAAAAAAGATTTTTAAAACCGTTGTGCTGACCTCTTGCTGATGTGAATTTTAGGTCGAAGCGCTTCCTTCAGTCCGCCCAACTTCATCTGCTTCAAGCCCTGCGCACCATTTATTCCGCAAATTTTAAATTGGTTCAAGTGCTCAACTTGGACCCTTTCAATGGAGATCTCTCAGCGTATGCTCTCCGACTTTGACCAAATTAGTGTCAATCCATTACAAATTTATTTAATATGAAATTTGAAAATGTGACCCTCTCGCAATGCTCAGGTTAGGCAAGTTATTTGGAAGAGGAGAAGAGCAATAAATTTAGAAAGTGCAAATTTTGTCAGCTTTAACGCCCATTTTCTCCTCTCCAAATGCAAATATCCCTGCCAAATGTGCGAATAAGGAGATGGTGTCCTTCGCAAATTGCATACTAATTAAATTTGTGATCGATTGGCACTAAAATCGCAGAAGATACATGCATTGGGAGACCTCCATTGTCAGGTTAGCATTTATTCTAAATTAGATACGATTTATTACCAAGTATATAAAAATCAAGAAATATGCAAATGTGTACTTGCACCACGTGCCCTTCTTAGTCCGGCTGTGACCGCCAGACTCGACCAAACCACTCCCGCACTGTTACCTCACGAATGCGCGTCCTTGGAGGGGACGAGCGGCGTCGTTCCCGCGGTCTCGGACCAGTTCCCCTCTCCATCGCGGAGTAATCTCAAAGATTTACTTTCAAATTAGTCGACAATAATTGGGACAAGAAGAGCGAAAGTCGTTGGAAATTAATAAGATTAGAATTTGACGTAAAAGAGTGAAAGTTGTCGGAATATGAGAGAAATTAAGAAGATTCGAATTCCACGTGGATAACGAATGACTACAAAAATTCTACTGACGCTGGAAATAAAGCCGTGGCGCAGTTTTGGCGTGGTCGGAAATATGTACGGGATACGTGGCATAACGTCCCCTCCGAAGGTGTCCATCGTTGACCGAGATGTCCAGTAGCCAATAAGACGCTTTGCTTGGCATCGATATGCAAATGAATCATCCATCTAATATACATACTTACACAGGGGCAGATAAGAGATAAAACTAAACATGCACCTAATTAGCAAATCAAACAAGCATTTCGTGCGAAAATGACGACCTGTCGGATTCGCATATGCAAAAAGCATGGAGAAAGTTGTGTATTTCTGTACTTAACTTGTTCACCACAAAAATAACCACGACAAGGAAGATTGCAGTTACTCCTCAGGTATGATTTTACTCCGACAAACCAACTTTGCATGAAACCACTTACATGCAACGCCATACTTCTCAACAGCACCAATAAAAAATAGGAAACGATAAACACTAAATGCACCCCTCGCAAAAACTTGTATGCATAAACTGCCATGCGATGCGAACCAATAATCAATTTTCATCTTAGAAAAAATCCAGCATTGTTTGCACGTTAAATGCATAAGTAGATTTTTCGACATGCTCATCATTTGATCCATATGCATACTGAAGCGCATAGCGCAATATTTAGAAACCTTCGCCTGTTCATATACAGATGCGACATTGACAGATTTGGGAGAAGATGAGCGGATCCTAGACTGGAGAAAGTGCAAAGGAGAAAGTTGATGCATGAAATGTACCTGCAAGCCAGTGAGACTCATGAACATAATAAAATCGATAAAAGTTCAGGGATGAAATTGCATGACACCAGTTTTCGAACCATCATTGCAATTTGTTTTCCCTCAGGTTGATCGGTATGGCAAAGCAAATTATCATTAATTTACCAACAATAAGTCAAGTGAAGGTGCCTTTCGTGAAATCGGAAACTTGCGACGATGATGCTAATAAATGCACAATTGCATTGCCCGTGTGAATTAGAATTTCCAATAAAAAAAATGCCATGCCCAATGTGCAAAGTAAAGTTCAATAAAAGTAGATTATTTACACAGTTGTTGGTGATTCGATGTGCATAACTTTGTGTATTTATTTATGTATTAACATTAATACGTTTGCATATTTTTCATTTTCAGAGAGGCATTAAATTCTTTCATCGTCTACTTCTTATGTAAATATGTACTTACATATTTCCAATATCAATTATTAACAAGAAATACTTTTATAAATCTGCTCAAATTAATTAGTTTTAATGTTACAATAAGTCCATCAATTTGCATATTTCGACATCGTCGCGATTTCTTAGCCGGTACCGACGACGACTTATTTATTTAATGACACGCTTGGCTTTTATTACTTGCTCTGTTTTCGTTGTTAAATTTAATAATTTGCATATTTCATTTTTACTTATTTGCCATTTTCCTTAAAGATCTACTACCCACCAGGTTATTCTTATTTTAGTTAGTCAATTACTTATACACAAATAAATAAATAAATACTATCCCATTTAAGTAATTAATTAATTAGCAGCTCTATTTGTCAAAAAGCTGGGTTTTCTTTTCTAAAGCAGCTCAAAAATGCTAACTGCAAACATCAATCTCGTAAATTTCATCACAGAATTCTCATTTAACAACTTGACAATAATTGTATCGTCCCTAAAAAATAATATCAATACAAAAACTAATGGAATAATTAGTTGCAAAATGTAACAAAAACGTAGAAAAATCATAGAGTCTAATTCATTCATAGAAATAAATGGGAGTCATCTGCTCGATAAGGGACGACTTATCAGCGTCTCATGCTCGGATTGAGTTGTGGCATGAAGCCAGAGTAAGGTCCGTAGGGATACATCGCGGCAGCCGCGGCGGCCGCCGTTTGTCTCGGGTCTTGTCCATACTGCCCCCCACCGTTGGTCATGGAGGGAGGTGGTTGCGCATGCGCGTGAGGATGCTGTCCTCCACCGGAAGTGGGGGCAGAGTTGACACCGGAAATGGGGGACTGTTGTGCGCCAGGATAGTGGTAGTGGTGGTAATAAGCAGCCACCTGGGCTTGGTGTTGGATCTGCTGTTGATACTGCTGGTACAGGTTGTGTGGTGCTGGTGGGGGGGCGACGGGTGGCGCGGTGGGAGCAGCCGCCACAGCCGATTTCTTCGACGACGACTTTGTCGCGGGTGGTTGCGGCGCTGGAGTAGCAGGGGTGGAAGAAGAGGACGACGACCGTGCCGCTGGTTGTCGATGATGCTGCTGCTGCATGGCTGCGGCCTGACTATTGTTGTGATTCTGATGTCGTTGTTGCGATGGTTGTTGCGCCACGGCGGCAGCGGAAGCATAGAATTTATCATACTGAGCTTGATGAACTGCAGCCGCAGCGGTGGAAGAGTGACTGTGACCTGATGACCTTTGGCCTGTGTTGTATTCGTGATGATTGTTCAGGTTGACTTGGGCCGGGATGGATTGGCAGCGTTGTTGTTGCTGCTGCTGCTGTTCCATCGACATGTTGCATGGCGTGGAACTTGACATCGCTCCTCCGCCCATCCCGTGAGCGAGTTGTTGCAATTTCGCCAAGGAACAGGATGGCGCAGGAGGATTTTGACTATGACCGTTTGACGAAGCGCCACTTCTGTGATGTTGTTGTTGTGGTAATTGAGGAGGAGGAACTTGCGGCACGACGGAGGCCGACCGCTGTCTCGACGAAGAAGAGGAGTGATGTGATGATGACGACGACATTGGTGGCGGCGTCGGACTGGGGTGATGTTGTTGATGATGGATGGCTTGATGTTGTTGTTGCTGTTGGTACATGGCAGCGTAGGCGGCGGCTGGACCGAGGTTGTTGTACATGCTGCGTGGATCGAGACCTTGATGACTCTGGTGAGAGTGCGATCTCGATGAAGCCATGCCTACAAGCAGAAAATGGTTTATTATTAAAAAAACCTATCAGTACAGCTTTGCTCAGCCCGAACCAGGATTGATTAGTAAACCCATGTTTGTCAGAATGTTATTCTATTTTTCACTAATTCTTGCATTAACTAACGTCAGTTGGTATTATTACTTGGCACCAAATACCACGAACAGTGGAGGCTATTCGTATACAAATTTCGAAATTCACCCTCCTCAATTCTAATGGTAAGTTTTTTTTCGACTCCACACTAAATTTTACCTGAATATATAAATCCTTAGAAATCGGTATGGGCACCCCTTAGTGCCCTCTGGTTACCTTTTGCTCATCTTTGACTTCATTTAATTTCATGAGAAGCCATTAAGCATCACCGTTCCGAATTTGCGACAATTTATGAAAATCGGTATGGGTCACCCCAACGGGTCCGCGGATATGAAAATTTTACCGATTTCACGTCATATTCTCCCATTATGGGCCATTAGCATCCTCTATGCCAAATTTCAGCTCGATTGGATGATCTGGAAAAATCGGTATGGGTCACCCCCTCGGGTACCTCCGGTTGACAAAATTTCCAATTTCACTTCATATTCTTTCATTAGGAGCCACTAGCAACCTCTGTACCAAATTTCAGCTTTCTACGACAATTTTGAAATTTTGGTGCGTAATACTCCACCCACTCCGATGACCCCCACCGGTCAACCACTGGACAGATGTCGCCCATCTACGAACTCGAGTTGTGTATTTGCATAGTCTAGATGTGTGGAAAATTTCAAGTCGATCGGATAAGTTTAAAGAGAGTTATCGTCGGACAGACAGACAGACAACACGGGTACATAAGCCCTGGTTCGGGCTAAAAATAGTGTCAAAGGATTGAAATTTATTTTCAAAACAGTAGCTCACGCTACTTAATAATGATAAACCTAATCCCTTACCTTGACCATGATTGTTTTGCATTTGTTGTTGTTGTTGCGGTGGAGGCGGAATGGGTGACATTGCCGCCGGGTTTGGCGTCATCGCTCCAACCCTTTGCTGGATCACGGATTGTTGCTGGTGCGGGTGCATTCCGTGACCTTGTGGTGGTGGTTGTGGGTGATGCTGCTGTGGGGGCGGAACGGGTGTCGACGTCGCTGATCGTCCACCATTGCTCGTCGCCCTTCCTCCTCCTCCCGCCATGACCATTCCTTGCTGCTGCTGCTGCTGGTACGCCATCATTTGTTGTTGCATCGCGGGTGACATGGGTTGCTGCATTCCAGGGGACATTTGTTGCCGTCCGGCATAGTTGAGTGGCGATCGGCTCGGAGGTGACAACTGCTGAGTGTGATGCTGGTGGTGGTACTGAGGTGGAGGAGGTTGTGGTGTTGGTGGAGATTGGTGATGGTGAGGTTGCATTGGGGGCGAAGGGTGTTGTGGGTGACCGGGCGTGGGTGGAGCAGACTTCAAATACGCGGGGTGACCTGACAAAATAAACAAATTTAATTAGCTCTGAACCTAAAAAATGTCAGGAAAGATTAAGAAAATCGAGCAGCCAAAAATTAGTATTTTTTGCAGAACTCTCTAAAATTCTGCACGATTTCTGCAAAGTATATTCTACAAATGTGCAAGATATTTTTCTATAGAATGGATTTTGTGCCGAGTTCTGGAGGATTTTGGGCAACAAATTTTTACACGGGTCGTGTCTCACCTTGCTGCTGAGGGGTTGGAGGATTCATCCCCACCGACCCGGGCGTCATTGGCGAATGTGGCGGAACATATTTGCAGCTGCTGTCGTAGTGATGTTGCTGTGACTGGACTTGTTGCTGCTGGTGGTGGAAGGCGGAATTGTCGACAGAGCCAGGACCCCCGTGTGGACCGTTGTCCATGGAATGAGAGGACTGGATGGAGTGCGGCGACTCCAAGTTCTCCACGCTTCCGGGAGGACAAGATTGGTTCGAGTGGACGTGACCATAATGACCTGACGCCGCCTGTCCGTTCATGGATGACGAGGAATAACCCATGTTATGCATCTCTTGATGGTGCTGAGGACTTGGACTAGGCTGTGACGCGTGGAGGCGTTGTTGTTGTTGCTGAGCGTGTTGCGAATCTGAAAAATAAAGGACAAATTATAATTTACACAAATATTGGCACAAACAAACAATTATGCAAAACTTACAATGAGAACTATTTTGTTGTTGCTGATACATATTATTATTCTGTTGTTGAGCATGACCATGCCCTTGCATCACGACAACGCCGTTGTGACCACCCCCACTTCCACTCCCGACGGGTGACTGAACTTGTTGTTGTTGTTGTGGATTCGTCGGCATGACCAAAACTGGACCACGACCAACCTGATTCGGTGGGGAATTATTATTGCTATTCGTCATCACACCAGACGGACTGGGTTGAAATGGTGACGACGCCATCGTCCCTGAACCACCACCACCCGAAGTTGTGGCCATCATACAGCTCGAGTTTGAATTGGATCCCGGTTGTGGGAACGTTTGAACGGATGGAGGTCCTCCCGAACAGCTTGAAGAACTTCGCTGATGAGAATTATTCATAATCTGAAGGACGGAAAAAAGAAGTTAATACCCAAAATATAAAAAAACTTTAATTTCGAATTACTATTTCACTCACGTCACTACTTCCGGCCTGTCCATGGTCAAAAATGCCTCCTCCCACACTGCTCGGTGGGGGCGGGACGCTCATGGGGGCGCTCTGGGAAGAAATGTCGCTCGTATTGTCATCTCCGTAAACCGTGTTACAGGAAGACGGGCCGGACGGGATGACGCGCAACGAGTCGGAATCCGCCTCCTTGTGATGAAGACCACGGTTCTCGAGATCTGCGCGTAAATCGTCGTCGGTAAAATTGGCCGCGGCATTGAATCCATTTCCGGTCCCGACATCGTAGTGACCGCCGTCCCCATTGTTCATCTCTTCCACGGAGGAGGGCATGTCGTAATCGTCAAAGCGCGAGTGGGACATGTCACCCTCGTCGTCATCATCGTCCTCCTTGTCATCCCCGTTCGTCTCGTTGTTATTGTTCGTGATGACCGGATTTTGAGCCGGTTTTCCTGAATCGTCGTCTTCTTCCATCTTCTCGTCGTCACCACCACCGTTCGTCACAATTTTAGTCGTGGCGACTGAATCGTCCTTGTCCTGCTCTTTTTGGTGGTGCTCTTGTTCTTCTTCTTCTTTCGGGTGACATTTGGTTGAAGAATTTTCACTCGCAGAAAGACAAGACGTCGTCGTCACGCTGTTGAGGACCACGGTGGACGACGAGGTTGGCGCGACAATGGCGACGGGAACTTTCTTCTTCCGTTTGGCATGGGATGGGATCGTCCCCCAGTATTTGTAACCCTTGATTCGTCGGATTTTTCGAGACTTCTTTCCCCCCGTTTTCTTCAAGGATGTCGAAACGTCGGTTATCTTGGTGGCAATTTTGTCGTCACCTTGACCCCGCGCCTTCTTGAGAGGGGGTGGTGCACTTTCATCAGTCGTTGAGGGGACAATGACTTTCTTTGGACGTCCTCTCCCAACTCCACTCCCGCCGCTGCTCGTCGTCGTCGTCGTCGTATTCTTGGCAACTGTAACTTCGTTACGAGTGACACTGATGACTTTGACGACGTCACTGCTACTTCCGGTGACTCCTTCGTCATTCTCTTCTTCATCATCTTCCCCGTTCCGTTTGGACATGCGACGATTGTATCGGGCTGCTCGGGCTTCGCGTTGTTTTTGCAAGTCTTGCTTCTCCTTTTCCGATACGTCAATTTCCGTCTCCGCCTCTTTTTCTTCCACCGGTTTCGCTACGGTGATGGCGACGACGGATGGCGTAGTAGGAGTAGGAGCAGCGTTGGTTTGAGGGGTCGATGTTGTCGAAGAGATGCTACTTTGGCGTCGAGGTGGGCGTAAAGAAGGTTTCGCTGGTTCAACCACGACAGGTTTCTTCTCTTCGGAAGACTCTTCTTCTTCTTTTATTTGGACTGGAGACGATTTGACCTTTCCATTAGAACCGGTCGTAGGAACGGGTGAGGACATTTTGACTCCCGTCTGGCGCTGAAGGAGCAATTGTTTCCGGAAATTGTGGGCGTTTTCTTCCTCCTCCAAATTTTTGACTTTTGTCGCTCTGCCCTTCAAAACTTTTCCGAGCAGCATCCCCTTAAAATTCTTCTTGGAAGTGGAATCGGCCGCTGTGGTCGGACTGGTGGCAGGAATTCCCACCGAAAGTCCTGCAGGAGGAGGAGGAGTCATTTTTACTTGTGGTGCAACTGGAGGCCACGTTTTTACCGGCGGAGGTGACAATTTGATCGAGAGCGGGGAGCTTTGTTCAGTTGTTTTGTGATCGTCGTCGGGATCGCTTTGGCTCATCTTCCTCTTCACGGGAGACTTTTTCTTCTCCGCCATCAGCGCCATGGACGTTTGAAGCATAGCAGCCTCTAATTTGTTCTCACTTTGAGCACTCCAATCCGGCCGTTTTCGCCCACGACTGGCGCCTCCTCCTCCGGAAGTGGATCTGCTACCACTCGACGTTGCAGTACCACCACCACGCGTCGAACTGCGACCCCTTCGTCTCGTCCTTGGTGTGTCATCGTCACCTTCTTCGTCTTCATCATCATTTCCACGTTTCTTCCCGGCGGATCGTCGTCCAGGTCTCGGTGGTGGTGGTGGAGGGTCCTCTTCATCATCGTCGCTATCGTCGTCCTCGTCAGAATCTTCCTCTTCATCGTCTTCCTCCTGCTCTGACTCAACTTCCGGTTCGGAATCGTCTTCTTCTTCTTCTTCATCCTCCTCTTCATCGACTTCTTCTTCGACAACTTGTGGAACAATGACTTCCGGCTCCTTCTTTTTGTGACTCTTTTTATTCTTCTTATCCTCGACCGGGACGACTTTCGGGGTTTCAATTTCCGGTTGAATCACGACCGTTTTCTTCTTATGTGACGGTTTTGGTGTCACCACGGCAAGTGGTGATTTCGCTGGTGGTACGGAAAGTGCAGATTTGCCCTTCTTTCTTGGCGGCGTCAATTCAATCACCCGTCTCACGCTCTTCTTCTTCTCTTTCTTGATCTTGTACGCGTTCGCCGCCACGCTGGCCCTCCTCCCAAGCACGACGGGGCTCTTGAGATTCTTGTCCGGCGTGGACATGGCTGCAGCGAGGGACGTTTTTCGAATCGGGGACGTTGTCCGATCTCCGCTGTCGGGTGAGCCATCTCGCGACCTTCCGGCGGCCTCTTCGTCATCGTAGTACTGCTTGTAGACCAGCGGAGTCCAACGGAGAGCGTCGCGATCAATCTTTATCCGCGACTTGCTCGCAGAAACGCGCGCGCCGTGCGACTCGACCAACTTCCAATCCACGCAGATACAGAGTTTGACACCTTTCGATGGTGTAGCGTTCATCGCGTCGGGGATACGTTTCAAGAAATTGAGGAGCTGCAGAGCCGTGGCGACGTCCTGTCCGCACATTCCAGTCGATTTGGAAATTTGCTGAAAGACAGTGAATAAAATCGAAATGAGTATCTAGTTAATTCACAAAATTATAGCTTATCTTAATGATAATGACTCACGTCGATCGATAAACTTGGCACTTTTCCGATAGTCTGCAGATACTCGAGCACGCAAGACTTCCAATACGCGTGGTACGAGACGCGACCCAGGTCTGACAGAGGTTTTTCCGGGGTTCCGTACTGACCCTCCACTTTAGAGAGTAGGTAACCTGTCACAAGGTAACCAATTGTTAAGATAAGCCCATAAGATTACCATGACTAAGGAAAAGAAGGTAAAAATAACTTACTAAAGTCGATAAGAAAGCGGCCAAAGCCTTGTCGCTGATACTGCGGTAAAGTCATGATGCAAGACACGTTGTATTTTTGTTGGCAGAGTTTCTCCTTTGAAAAGTAACCCACCAAGTGACACCCCTAAATAGATTAAAAGTTTTGCAAAATTTACATTTTCTATTCTAAAACTAAGTATGCAAATTAATTTTTTTCGCCACATACGAATCTGTCGTTCTTCGTGAGGACGTAGAAGAGGAAGGGCTCCACGTCGTAGTAGAGAGTTTTGTGGTCAAGGAAGAGCTTGGCGAGAAGGCAGAGGTTCTGACAGTAAAGCTTGTTCGTATTCCCGTCAACCTGTAATTTAATTAGTTAGTTTATTATTTAACTATGTAACTTGTACAAATTGTGTAGGTAATTACCTCAAACACCGAAATTTCATCGCCTCTGTAAATCTCCGTTCCGGGAGGATGAGTGAGGCGACATTTGAAAAGGTGACGGAGCAGGATCACCTTCGACTTTGTATATTTCAAACAAAACTCACAAAGGTAGAGCTTCTTGAGTCTGCAAAAAAGTTAAAATTTGCATATTCACAGGGGTTTCAGAATGCATTGAAATTGTGAGTACAAAATTGTGCCCCATTTTGACATTAGGTCAGACTTACCTGGCATACTCTTGAGGGTATGGGGACGAGTACCACGTGGTGATTTCATAGCGACCAAATTCAATCATTTGAGGGCAGGAGGGTTGAGGAAGAGCGCTTTTGGGAAGACCAACCCCGTTCACGGGTATCGGATTGTTCTCCTCGTCATCCTCCTCATTGGGCAGGCCGATCATCTGTGGAAATCACAAGGTTTCCAGATATTACAAAATATTTTGAAACATGGAATGGAAATAAAAGTTTTGCATGTGAGGAGGGATCTGTGGGTGAAAAACGTATTGTATTCGTCACCTCATTCGCCTTGGCTTGAGCTTTTCTAAAGAGCTCAATGTCCGCGTCCGTGACGTCGTCAGGTATCAAAGTTCCAGGAAGCAGGCCAGCTACAACAACAAAATAGAGAAATTGTTAGCACATATCGTTAAAAAACTGTAACCTAATTTTCATACGCACCTTTAATGGCACGATCATCCTGAATGGAAAGGTCAGAATTCTCCACCCCATCTGCCCCGCTGCTCGTGTCGGCCACCTGATCTCCGCCACTCACACCACCCCCGCCGCCGCCGCCCTTGTTCTTGGTCTTATTTGGCTGGAGAACTTTCTCCTTCTTTCGCCCAGTCGCCGACGCCACGCCAGCCGTCTTCTGATGAGTCAACGCCTTCTTCTTCAAATACTTCCGCATCGCGTCCTTATCGCCAAACTTCCCCTTCCTCCCGCTCGGCGACGGCGTTTCGTCTCCACCACTGCTGAAGTTGAGGCACTTTCGACCACCAGTCTGTGACGGCGTCGTCGTCGCCACAGGTCTGATGGGAGTTTCAATCGCGGTTCGTACAATATTTATCCCACCCCCGTCACCCTTCTTCTTTGACCACTTTTTCGTCTTGCACTCCACGACTTGAACTTGTTTCAACGTTCCCACCGTCGCAGAGGCGGACGCTAAAGATTTTGGCGTCTTGTGAACCGAAGGTGTGGCAACCGTTACGCCGCGGCGAGGTCGTCCAGACAGAGTCACGGCTGAGTCGGCATCCTCCCCAGAATCTTTCTGTTTCGGCGTCTTTGGCGAATTGGAAGGTTTCATGGGAGATAAGAGCAGCTTCTTTCGAACGCTAGCGGAAGTAGAAGGAGCAGATTTACGACTGACAACTTCAGGCACAGGTTTCACTTCGGGTGGTGGCGGTGATGGCGAAGGTTCTTTGGTGGGCGCATTTTTCTTCTTACTCTTGCGACCCGTGGGGGTGGTTGACACGCTCGGAGAACTCGTCACACTCGCGCTCAACTTAATTCTTCTCTGCGGTGGGGACAAACTCTTGCGCCGATTTTGCTCCGCATCCGCCAGAACGCTCGCCTCCTTCATGAAGGCCACGATATTGCCGTAGTCTTGGTCCATGAGGAGAGATTTCCCTGAGGACGACGACCCTCCAGAGGACGGCCCTGTTTTCACCTCCAAATGATCACTCTCCGATTTTCGCCCCTTTTTCGTCTTCTTTGCCTTCTTGGCGACAGGACTCGCTCCCTTTTTCGGCGAGGGTGAAGACGCTTCCGGAAGTGGGACAGCTTTGGTAGTGCTCTTCTTCTTGTGGGAAGCTGATGGGCTCACAGATTTAGCCACGGACTTTTTCTCGACACGTTTCTCCACGAAGAGATTGGATCTCGTGGGAGAAATGGAGGACGACGAGGCGCGCGAGTCGCGACGTGGCGTCGTCGTCGTTGGAGTGGCGACGACGAGAGATTTTTTACCCGAGGAAGACACAGATTTGCCTGTCGTCGCGTCTTTATTATTTGTGTCCTTCTTTTTGGGACGACCACGTCCGGGCTTTTCAGGAACCACAACGGGGTCAATAGTACCATCATCATTCGCCACAGAGGGCGATGGTTTTCCTTTCTTTGGCGCCGATTGCTCGAGAGGAGTGCCTCCATCGCTGAGTTTTCGCTTGGGGGGACGACCCCGCTTCCCAGACTTGACGACGACGGGCGTCGTTGAGGGTGACGCTGCTGATGGAGGAGTTGTCCCAAAGAATTCTGTGATGATTCTCTGCTTCCCAGCATTTTTGAGAGGAGGACGTCCCTTCCTTTTGCTGCTGGGAGAGGTAAATGGTGTCGGAACGGTCGTCGTCGTCGTCGTCGGTACTTCCGGTGTCACCAGTTCCGCATTCTTGTCAGGACTTCGACTTCGAGAAGGTCGGCGCAAGGTCAGGCTTGATGGCGGAATTTCATTCTGAAATCAAAAACCATGGTCAAAGTTTTAATTCCTTTTTTAATTGTAACATATTTTTTAATGGAAAAGTCGTTACCTTTTTCGTTTTTGGCGACTTTGACTTTTTCCCCTTCTTTCCACCAACTCCACTTCCGGTCGCCGCAACGGGGGACACTTTCCTCGTCAATTTAATACTTGGCACGTTCAGTTTGTAAACGAGATTCGACTCTTTTGGTTTTGGCGAGACCTTCTCTACTTTTATGACGCCGGGCGAAACTTTGCCGCCCTTCGTCGACGTTGACGGTGGGGACGTCGTTGCGACATGAATCTGACCCAAGAGTTCCTGCCCCAGCTCCACTTCCCGCGTGATCGTGGCGGGCGCTGAGAGAGTTTTCCTACTCTTCACACTCGCCGGTTGTGTGGTCGGCGACGCCAGCATGGTCGGCGTTGGCGACGACGACGCCGCCTCCTCGCCCTCCCCACTTTCAGGTGGCGACGGTTTTTTCAGCGTGCAGGTACGTTTTCGTCCGGATGGGGTGAAAAAGGAGGACAAGTGATCTTGCAATCCTTTCAAAACTTTGGGCACGTTTTTAGGATCGTGCAACAATTGGAGGTCGTCCGTATCGTTGGTGCTCATACTTCGGGGCGGGACAGGAGTGACAACTTCCGGTCGAGAAGTCTTGAGAGATTCAGCAGAAACGAGATCGTCACCGCCACCATTCGAGGAAGAATCGGACACTGTAGACGAAGAGGAGGCTGGAGCGGTAGACTTTTTCTTGGTGGGCTTCAATTTTGTCACTTTTTCTTCCTCTCTTCGCCGTGACGACGTAGTGTCACCACCCGACGAATCTGACAACGTTGGTGAGCACGGAACAGCAGATTTTACTGTGATGTTGGCTGTTTCTTTGGATGTCGGAACTTGATCGCCATGCTCCTCTTCGGAGCAGGAATAGTACGTCGTTTCTTCACTGGATCGTGAAACTGTGGGCGAGGCGGAGTCTTGACTAGGTGGCTTCTTGCTCTTACTCTTACTGGGTTTCTCCTCTTCTTTCTTGAGTGAGGTCACTTTGGCTTCTTCTTCCGGAGGCGGTTCGTCCGGCGTGGTGGTGGTGACGTCAGGTAATTTTTCAGCCGGCGAGGAAGCCTCCGCTTCGACAGGAGGACTCAATTTTACTTCTTGATCCGACTTTGAGACACAAACGGGGCACGTTTCACTCGTTTCGTCACTAAGTTTGTCACTTAAAACTGCGTTGCATAGGCGGCACTTTTTCGGCTCGAGAGAAGCAGGTGGCGAAGATGAAGATGAGTCAATTTCCGGTTTTGTGACATCTTTCGTCCCCTCGTCAGAATCCTGCAAAAAATCGAATTGAGTGTAAACAAAATAAATAAACAAAATAATCATCATTTATCAAATGTTGTACCATTTCAGATTTTGTGACAATCTCCTCCTCCTCGACGGACCCCTTGTTTTCCCCCTTCTTCTCTCCGTCATCCTCCTTTTCCTCTCTCGACACGGGCTTATCTTCCTCCTCCATACTCGTTGTGGGAACTTCGCTCGTCAATAACACCTTGGCATCGTCATCATCCCCGTTCTTTTCCTCTTTCTCCTCCTCAAGTCCAGGAGAAGACTCACTCTCGTCACTTTTCTCTTTGTCCACTTCGTCACTACTGTTTTTCTTCTCACTTGTGTCCTCTTTACCACCACCATCGTCACTTTTGGGAGGAGGAGGAGGAGCACTACTCTTCTCAGAGTCCTGCTTCACCGTTCCTTCCAGCAGCACGTCAACAACAACATCCGGCCCTGCAGGGCTTTCCTCTTCCACCAAGAGTTGCATCTTCTTCTTCGTCACGGCTTCATCACCACCGCCACTCGTACTCGCACCCACATTTACAAGTCCACCACCACTGCTCGAAGAACTCGCGGCGGCGTCAGACTTGCTGTCCACCTTCTTCTTCACCTGGAACGAAACAGGAAAAAAAATTCATTAGTCCAAAAAAACACAAAAAATGCCACAATTAACGCATTGTTGTCTATACGCTCTCTTCTTGTGTGTAACGAACCGTGTCGTCGCCCTCTCCAGAGCTCCGTCATTAAGTTACCATTCTTCTTCTTCACTCCATTCCCACAATGTGCAAGAAAAGTGGGGAAAAAATCCTACTTTTGTTCTCCCCCAGAAGAAAAAGAAGGGAGTGAGTGAGTGAACCAAATTATTATGAGAACTGCCAACAATCACCAACCAATTGCTTATTAAGTAAGCATATGCATACATACGTATGTAATTATGTACCTCTAATTTGCCAATTTATTATTTAGCCAAATGTATGTATGAGTGGTTGGTGGTGCGGCAGAGTGAATGTTGACTACTGCTTATTACACTTACTCGTCGTTTTGTTGTCTCGTGAACTACGTCCCATTTCGCATTACGAAGCTATCTACATTACCTTTGCCTACCTGTTGTATGCATGCGAAATACTTTTCTATGTAGTGCCACCCAGACTAAAAAATAATAACAATGGCCAGGTACAGGATGCCAAAACCATCACCACCACCACGAGAAGATCAAAACCCTGCAGTGCTTAACACGGGCAGAAAAGAAGAGAGTCGTCGTTAATGCAATAAGTAAATAATATCACCAAGCAGAGACGAATCATGGCATCTCTCACTTTTAGCAGAGAAATAATATTCACCAACCATTATTCACCACCATCAAACAAATAAGTAAGTAAATGGGCTCAAATAATGTAATGAGTCTCTTTCTTCTTCTCAAGAATGAAAGGGGTCAACGCAGACCAGGTTGTGGGATCGCTGCTTACGAATAAAACAAGACACATCATCTCCTCCGTGTTAATAATCTCGTCATTTTGTTTGTATCTGCATTCTGCATAGCTACTAACGACTCCCTCTCCTCGGCTCCTTAAATAATGTAAATGCAACTATCTGTCTACATACACCACAAAAATTGTAAACTCTGCAAAAGCAAATATTATTATCGTCGTGATGATTAGTACATGTGTTATCCTCCATCCCGTCCTGTCCTGCACTTACTCCCCACAATCTAATCTCGATCCTTCTCTGTAATGCAGCCTCTAATCTCCGCGCATATGCACTTTTTTTCATGCCACATTGATTTGGCAGCCAAACTCAACTGCCAAAACCTTCCTCTAATGAATGACGAAATGTGCCAGTAATTCAATTTATTTCGAGAGCCAAAAATTATTGACTCGTCGTTTAGCACAAGTTTGGCACACGCCTTGGTTAGTAAACAGAGTCGAGTTACACGGCATTAAAATAGATTTATGCTAATATTCAAGCCCAATTTCTAATCCTTTAAAAAGCAAATGTTACTTATGCTAAGTTATTAACTGATCTACTTTTACTCGATGAAAGAAATGGCATGTCATTAATTTATTTATGAGGGGAATTTAGTTAATTGGTCGCCCATTAGGGACACAATTGTTATTAATTATTTGACAAGAATTGCAACAGTCAATCTTGTAATCTTTATGTGTGAGTGATCCCATAATCTAGTTGGTCATCGGAATAAACCAGATTTCCTCACCTCACGAAACAACAACAACAATGACAACCATACCGGTTTTCTTTTAGCACCCATTCTTTTCATCCCATTATTATAAGTACGTACACCGGCTACATTACATTGTTCCCCGCTAATTGTTACCACATACGCAGGTTGGGTTGCAAAAGTCAGCCGAATGTCAAACAAAAATTGGGAGATCGTCTCGTCATTACAAGAAAGAAGATACCCATTTTATATTTAAGGTAGGATAAACATTTCATAAAATAAATGAGACTGGATTACAATTCATGGAAATTGAGCAGGATACCGAGTACTCAAAGTATGCATACGAATAAAAATGACTTCAAAGTGGCCAGACGAGTTTATCCTCCTAAATATCTACCTCCCTCATGCATATAGCTTTAATTCTGATGGGAACTGGATTGGGATTAAATTGGGCATCAACGTGCTGGAGGTACTCGTCGGTGGCCAGGTGTCATGTTTTCCATCCCTTGTTTTCTGTACACACACACTGCTAATGTTCATATCTCTTTTACATACTAAATAAACTCATGTACTCTAAGCAAGCTCGCCAATAAACACACTTTTTGATTACTTACGAACGACTTATTACTCCGGCATGACCACCACCACCACCACCACAGGTAAATAATGGGCAGGTAACAACAATGTATGTATCTCTATGTAAATAAGTGGGAGACTAGCTTTTCTATATTATTTACTCGACCCGGTGTTTAATCCCTGTAATAGAATATGTAGTATCCACTCCCCGGTAGATTACTTAGCTGGAGGAATTGAATTATTAAACAATGAACACGACACGACAAGCAGGACGCTCTTCTCCGCCTCTCATTTATCCAATACTAACCACCGAGTATTATGCCCTCTACAATGATTTGTATCCTGCTTGCTACCTGCATTTTCTCTTCTGCCACATACTTACATAGCCATCTTAATAAAATATTAAAGGAATCATGTCTCTCTCTCCTCGTCGTGTAGTGTAGGTAAAAATGCTTCTCGGTTAGCCGAATTATGTCTAAACTGTGACCAATAAGACAAGAGAAGGATGGATACCATTTCGTCCTCCATTTCATAATAATGTGTCATGTAATGAAATGAGAGATACCTTTCCGTGATTAAAATGAGAAATAAATTCGTTCTCTCAAAATAGAGGCTTGTTACTTACTCAGCTAAATGTAAGTATTATTTGGCTGAATAATAATAGTAACGAGTCGCGAAATACATACGAGGAGGAAAACAGCGAGGAGACGGAAAGGAATCAATAATTATGATGATGATGACGATGGCGATTAAGGTGAGGCAGCAGCTAAAAAAAGGTGAGGTGAGTGATACTTGATATTTGAGTGCGAAGGAAAGGGTTGGATTTAGCCTGTCCTTTTTAGCCCGAGTCAGGGCTTATGGAACCGTCATGTCCGTCCGTCCGTCCGTCCGTCTGTCCGGCACGATAGAGCCAAAACGGCTGAACCGATTGACTTGAAATTTTTACCATATGCATATTGGACAAAGTTAGGAAACGAGTTCGAAGATGGGCGAAATCGGTCAAGTGGTTGACCGGTGGGGGTCATCGGAGTGGGTGGGGTATTATGCACCAAATTTCAAAATTGTCGTAGAAGGCTGAAATTGGGTACAGAGGTTGCTAATGGCTCCTAATAGATAAAAATGACTTTAAGTTGGAAAAATTTTCATCTTGAGGGACCCTATGGGATGACCCATACTGATTTTTCAAAATCGTCATAACAAGCTGAAATTTGGTAGAGAGGTTGCTAATGGGTCTTAATAGAAGAATATGACGTGGAATTGGTAAAATTCTTATCAGGAGCGACCCTATGGGGTGACCCATACCGATTTTTAGAAATTACTTTAAAAACATTAAATCCGGCAAGGTCATACCTAATGGCTTCTCATGAAAGGATATGAAGTTAAAAGTGAGCGAATTTTAACCAGAGTGACCCTGGAGGGTAACCCATACCATTTTTTAAGTTTAATTTTTTCCATCTGAAATTTGGTACGAAGGCTAAAGACCACTTCTTGATAGCAAATATAGCTGTGGAAGTTCAAAGTGGTAATATCATGTCGGTCAATTCGGAGAAAAATTTAGAAACAGCTAGGACTCACGGAGTCAGGGACTCTGTCCCTGACTCGGGCTATATGGAGTCTGCACTGTAGGTTTTTAAATCTATTATCACCAACTGAATCGAATTCGCCAACCAAACGGTAATTGAAACGTTAAATTCAATCGAGCCGAGTATAATATGATCGATAATAAAATCAATAAATAAATAAACAATGATTCTTAATGTAATAATGTAACGGTGGAATGGATAAATGTTTAAATAGACAACGGGTTCTTGTTTACTGCATGGTTAAGTAAATGTTTTGTTAGTTAATTGTACTCTCTGTTAATGCGTGTAAGTAAACTAATAATATCTGCCGGGCCGGGAGAGATACATATTTTTGTGGTGTCCTTACTTTTCATGTTGTACCGCCCACCATCTACCATCTACCCTATGCTACCGTACAGCAACTACTTTTTTATCATCTACCTTTTTTTCATCATCTACCTTTCTAAAAATCTAAAATTCCCCAAAAATGTTAAAGTGCCCCAAATCTCCGGTATTTATAAATCCACCCCCACAATTTTTATGGGGCAACGTGAGATTTTATTTCATATTGGGGCATCGTTCGTTTTTTAGCGAGCGAAGCGAGCAGGTTAGGTTAGGTTAGATCTACTAGGTACGGGAAAAGTGTGAAATGCTTAGCTAGCTAACCTAGCTAGCACAGCTATCTAGCCTAGCTACCTAGCACAGCTACCTAGCCTAGCTAGCTAGCTAGCACAGCTACCTAGCCCAGCTACCTAGGTTGTATCTATCCTAGCTAGCTAGGTTGTAACTAGCCTAGCTAGTTAGGTTGGCTAACTAAACATTTCACACTTTTCCCGTACCTAGTAGATCTAACCTAACCTAACCTGCTCGCTTCGCTCGCTAAAAAACGAACGATGCCCCAATATGAAATAAAATCTCACGTTGCCCCAATGTATCTCACGTTGCCCCATAAAAATTGTGGGGGTGGATTTGGGGCACTTTAACATTTTTGGGGAATTTGAGATTTTTAGAAAGGTAGATGATGAAAAAAAGGTAGATGATAAAAAAGTAGATAATGTACGGTAGCATTGGGTAGATGGTAGATGGCGGGCTGTACAACATTTACTTTTCAGATATTGATTGATTATTGATGTAATAATAACCAACCGTCCAGCTGCCGGCTATCTCTCGCTTATTTAATTATTTATGTTTCTGCCTGCACTCGACTCTGCCGGTCAGACCTGTTGACCCGTCTTTGTTATTGTTATGAATTGATAAATGATGATCCTGATTAAATATGGGTTATGTATCGTTAAC